CACGTGGTAATCTTCGTCGAACAACTTGAAACTCCGCAGAAAACCCTCTGAATCGTGATTGTGCCTAACCTCTGTTAATGGATGACATAGATGAAATTGTTCGTGCAATTCATGACATTGTAAATTTGATAGATAGAACCACGTCTTCAAGCGATGATATTGGAATTATAGTGGTCAAATTGGATTACCTTCATCGAGTCGTAGTTAACCTTGATCTTGACAGTACGATCATATCGTTGATTGGTGATGCGTTTGAAGCCTTATCCAACATTGAAAAACAAAGAAGCGAACTGTATTCAGGAGGTTATAAAACCAATGTTTCAAAGACAGGGAGACGTGGTAGACCAAAGTACAACGTAAATGCTGAACACGTCTTAGGGTTTTAAAGTAGCAGAAATAAGTGGAATTTTAGGAGTCAGTTTGAGAGCAGTCGAAAGAAGAATGTCGGAATTCGGTTTGAGAGTTTCAGGTAAGTACGTACAATTGCTTGCTTCTTTTTATTACGGTAAAATATTGTCGCCTTTTACGCAGACATTCTTATGTTCGTTATGTTGTCATGTTCCTTGAGAAGGATGGCGGAGTATACATTTTGGCAGTGTTGACATATGACATAAATATTTTAATTGCCTGACGTCACATAAAATTAGATTAGATCAAACTCGAGGACTCATTGTTAGACATTTCCCCCCGAAAAGTGATTTTAGTGTTTGTTTTTTATTTATTTATTTTTTGTCATCAAAGGAACATTCAGTAAATTAAGTGATGAACAACTGGACAGTATAGTCATGCAAGCCCAAAGGGATAATCCCAATATTGGTATTAGAATGCTTAAAGGGCATCTCCAAAGCCTTGGTCATCGCATCCAGAGAGCTAGGATATGTTCATCACTTCGGAGAACCGATCCTACCGGAGTAATGCAGAGATGGAAAAAAACTATCAAAAGACGCCAATATAGAGTAAGAGCCCCTCTTTCTTTGTGGCATATAGATGGGAACCACAAATTGATTAGGTATGTACTGTATAGAATTTTAGAACAAAAATACATTATTTTCATTGCCTGTGTGTCTAAGCTCAAACGTCGAATTGCACATGAGCTGAACGTACACCGGAATAATAAGGCGGATGCCTATACACGCTTCACGAATTCCATGCTACTGCTGAAAAAAGTGGGCACACGGGTTGTAAAAAATTGCTATAATTCAGTATATTTGATTCGTAATCAACTTTATGGTACGCGTCCTTAAAAATTTAGTGAAAATTTATCTGGTAAAAACTGGAAAAAAAACCCAAACAAAACAAATGCAATAAAGCAGGTTTTGAAACTAGTGTGCCCACTTTTTTATTCCTTGAGCATTCGCATGGAGCAGTTCGTGAGGTTATGCGTCTATTACGTTTGAATCCGGAGACAAAAAGTATGACTGGGATTAGGAACTTTATCCGAACGTTTGGAAAATACGAGTGTTTTAGTTTCCGGTAAAGCGATTATATAATAAATTAGGATATAAAGACCTATCATATTGGAAAGTTTAACAATACACTCTATAGCTACAATGATCAATGTTATGAACTTAATGTCAATGTTTTCCCCCCCCGTTGCTTGATTCGCTCTTAGGTGGAGAATAGTAATACATGGGGGAATAGATGGATTTTCCAGAATTCCTGTTTACTTGCATGCTTCAAACAACAATAAAGCGGACACTGTTCTTATGCTTTTCGAGGAAGCAGTAAGTCACTATGGTCTACCATCCAGAGTACGATCAGACAAAGGTGGAGAAAACGTAGATGTTGCATTGTACATGCTGTCACATCCTCGACGTGGTCCAGGCAGAGGAAGCATGATAACAGGTATAAAAATGTGAAAACACTCCCCCCACTCCAAATGTAGATATTGAAATCAGTGAAAGCATGACGACATCACATAAAATGTTTGTTCTATTATCTTTTGTAGGAAAAAGCACCCACAATCAACGCATAGAGAGA